GTCATTGTTCGCTTACCTCCACTACTCTGTTATTAGTAGTACCATAACGAATTTAGCCCCAATCATATCCAACATTGTGTACTGCTTTTCTCCATTTTGGAAAACCCTACTTATAGATTTAGTAACCTAGGACTCTTTCATTTGGAAGGAATGGCTGAGCTGTTTTGGATTCCGGGGCTTGGGGAATAGCCTACAACTGCCCTTCTGTAATTAGCATCACAAAGTGCATCAACTTGTAAGCCATGTATAGAAAGGGGAACGAATTCGGTAGAGGAATAGTGAACGCTTAGTTCAACATTCTGTAACCGTTACGCCAATGACTTGTGCTGCAATTGCATCTGTATATGCCTGAGTCGATCGTCTTCAATTAGTAGATAAGAGGTTCTTGAATATTGCACAGCTGACCTCACAAAATGGGAAGGATCATTCCTCGGTGTTCTTGTACCCACCATACATAAGCGCGAGGTCAGTTACCGATTGGTAACCTTACCATCGACTGACCTGGCAATTTTGTAACCGACCTCGCTGTTTTCGCGCTACCCCATTATGCGCTTCTTAGATGTATGCCTTTCAGATTTGATTACAATTCCCTCTAGTTTTCGTAGGAAACCGGAAATGCTCCCGCCTCTAGCTGCCCGTATTGGCTGCGCCCCACCCCAAGTTCATTCCGTGCCATTGTTCCAGCGTCTCGACAAGTTCACTGGCGCTTTACCAAGGATTCCTGAGACTCCCAGGTCACACCCGGTGCCCATGACTGTGGACGAGCTTGGAGATGGCCCTGACGGTGTAGACGGCATCGATCTTCCCGATGAACGAGCTTTCCCGAAGCCTCGCAAGCCATCAGATAAGGATCCTCGTCGGCATCCAAGCCCACGGCATCCTACTCTCACGCAGTTCTATCGGAAGAAGGAGCTTAATCACTTCGCTGCCACCAAGTGCAGTGCACGGGTTCAGGCTATGGTCGACGAACCAAACGGTAAGGAGAATATCAATCAGTCGTTTCGCACCGTTCCAACTCGGCGCCATGTCTTGCTACCACTGTGGATATCGGGTTTTATGACGCGAGAGAAGTGGGAAACGATGGCAGCCACGGATGACGATGTCAAGCTTTTCCTCGAACTGATGGATGAATTCGGTTACGTCGATTTCAACGACCTTCGGGGTTATCCTTCCGACTGGGAGAACATGACAGAAGTGGACCCCCATCGCGTCCGAATGGCCACCGCAGCTCTGCTGTTCTTCGATGGTGATGCTGCTGCTCTTGTCCGTTGGGTGGGAGGTCCGCATGTGAATGCTCATCGCAATGTTCCAGAGATGCTTTGCAACCTGAAAGGGAAGATCCCTGATGACATCTACGAGGACTCCGAGCGAATCTTCATCCATGGCATCCCACGGCACTGCAATGCCGATTCCACGGAGGAAAACTTCCAGCAGTTTTTCCAGTACGGGAACCACAAGAGCTGCAAAATGGCACCCGAGAAGTCTTACAAGACTCTGGTGAAAGATGTCAAGAAGGGTTACGTCTTACCTTTCGATAAGCGTGTCATTCCCTTTGTATTGAACTGTCACGTTACCCCCAAGGAATGGTGGACTTGGACAACAAGTACAAGAAACCGAGAGTCATCTTTGACAGTTCTTTTCGTCCAACCCATTCTTCTGTTGCGATCAACGACTGGACGGACTCTTCTTATGAAAACCCAGTTGTCCGTGTGGCTATCGAACAAGAATTTAGGAAATGGCTCTGGCATGCACGGATCGACGCCGAGTTTGAGGAAATTTACCTTGGTGATGATGACGTCAGTGGTGCCTTCCAGTGGTTGAAATATCATTCCAATCTGGTTGCCATGCATACGAGTGTCCAGTGTGGTTTCGGCGTTTTCAACACAGGTGGCACTTTCGGAGACAATACAACTCCTTCCAATTGGGACCGGATTGCTCTTGCTCGTGCCTGGCTTGCTCGGTGGCTGTGGCTCAATGAGCCCAATGTGGTTGAAATGGCATGCCAATATTTACCCACGATCCAGTTCACTCCAGACCCGACGGAGGCTGAGATTGCCAGTTTTTCTAAAGCTACTCACGATAGTCAGCACCAAGGCATCCATGACAGCGATGGTAATCGTCTACCACCGCCTTTCCTTCATCATGTTGATGATTGTGCCAAAGCTGATGTGAAGGCTACTATCGAGCGAACGATTGCGTGCAGTGTCGTTAGCCTTTACAAGATTCTCGGTGAGCCCTCTCCCGATATCAGCAACCCATTGAGTTTGGAGAAGTTGGATCCCCTCCATGGCCATTTGCGCCAGATTGTTGGCCGCCATTGGAATACCCGGCGGTTGTCTATCTCCATGTTGGAGCACAAGAAAACCGAGCTCATTTCCCGCCTCGAGGATTGGCTCCGGAAGGATCGGTTCTCATTGCTCGAGGGCACTGAGCTCCTAGGCGTGTTGGAAAATCACACACGCTATGTGGTTTGGGCACGACCTTGGTTCTTTGCCCTCCAGAATCGCATATGTACCTTGTTGCAGCGCCTCTACTTCACCCAGCGCAAAACCTGGGAACGAATTGGCAAGCAGAAGGCAGCTGAATTGCATGCAGAGCTACCTGAGGCTCTCTGGAAACGAGTCAAAAACATACTGGCACGAGAGAAAGCCCTTCTGATTTGGCGCAACAAAGGAACCCAAACGGTCGATTCATCCCTGCGCAGTTCCTTGTCCAACATTCTGCATTACTTGAAAACGGATCCTATTCCGTTTGAGGCCAAGATCGGAACCATCATTCCCAGAGACCCCCATGCTATCGCCTGGGGCAATGCCAGTGAATATGGCACTGGTGGTTACAGCCCCCAACTCAAGTTCTGGTTTGACATTGTCTGGAGTGACCGTGTTCGTCGATGCCTGAAGCTGGACCCAACTTCGCCCAACTTCATCCACATCAATCAGTTGGAGTTCTTGACGATCATTCTGGAACTGGCCGGCTCCATCGTGGCACTCCGTTCTCTCTCTCCCGAGGAGAAAGCAAAACTTTTCCCTTATGGGGAGCCCGAAATCCCAGTGGTGTTGTCTTGGTCTGACAACACGTCCTCTGTTTCATGGGCGAATCGTGCCACCACCAAGTCCCCCCAGGGTCAGCGTTTGCTTGGCATTTACTGTGAATTGTTGCGTGTCTCTGGCATCAGTATTACTGCTCAGCATATTGCCGATGTTGAAAATATTCTGGCCGATTTTATCTCACGTCCCACCCATTTTGACCTCTCTCATCGTGAACGGGCTGAGCAGCTGTACCAGAAGTTCAGCTTCATGCGAAACTGGAATTCTTTCCGCCCAAGTCCTGCCTTGCTACAGCTCCTCTCTTGGAGTCTATTCTCAAAGTCTCCAATGGAGGTACCAAGTCTTCCAAGCGAGCTGGGACAGCTCGTAGCCACCAATTGCATTTCCTCGGGTTCTCTTATGATCTAGAATGGACGACTCCAGTCCCAATTTCTCCTCCAATTTTGGATATCAAAGATGCCGACCCCAAAGCTATCCAGCTGGCTTTGTGTATGTACCGGTACCGCGATGAGGACATCAACCTCACGCACAAAGGCTGGGATGAGCTGGTTGATGCCGTTAGTCATTCATTTCTGATCTACAAGCCTCCAGACGACCACGGCGAGGAGTGGTGTCCAAGGCTGGCATACAACATTCTGCCACGGTCGTGTTTGCGTTGGGGTGATCGATGTCGAGCAGCATATCAAGGCAGTGGAATCAATGTTCCTTCTTGGATATCTGCCTTTAGGTTTGCCCCAAGCCGATCGCGAAGTCTGTTTTCAACCATTTCATCAAGAACTTTCGAGGCAAGAACAAATTCTTCAAATTCTTTAGCCGCTTGGAGGATGTCTTTGCATTGCCGGCAATCTCAAAGGACCCACGGCGTGCCCAGAACCTTGTTGGAATGGCGTATGGAGACCACGCGAAGGAATATGCCTCCAAATGCAAGTTCATCCATGTTTCGTACGTGCTTGTTGAACGACAGTCAGCACTTCGGCGACTACCTGGTACAGAGCTCGAAACCATCTCCCACCTATTGAAGCAAATGGATTGAGATTTGAAAAACCTTGCTCTCTTGAGTTTAAACGCGGTGCGTTTTTGCACTACAATCATTGTTCAACTACGAAACCTTCGCACACTTAACCAAGCTGATGCTACCATGGATGTTGACTTGAAACAGGCTCAGCTTTCTGCAGTTCTTCCCTTTCTCACAAACGCTCGAAGGATCTTTTCCCGTGCTGCCTCAGAGAGCGGTCCGACGAACACAGAAAGGACAATCCTCTCAGGAGAGCTGCACGCACAAAACATCCAGGATGTATGTGGGCTATTCTTCAAGGTATCAATTCATTCGAAGTCGAAGCGTGACTTTGAGAAAAGAGCAAAACAGCTCATGATGCGCCAAAAAAGCACAGTTAAAATGCTGCCTTTTCTGACGTCTCTTCCATGTCTGTGGCCGACCTTCAAAAGCTATTCGTGCAACTGAAGGAAATATTGTCGTTGGAGTCGACATCGTCGACTGCCAAGGCACCAGACGTTGCATCGTGCGGCAACCGGCACCGAGCCCTTCCACCACTCTGGAAGCCTGAGTAGAACAATCCACCTAAGCAGCCCCCGGTGGTCAAACCGCGTCCACCAACCAAGTCTTGGTTTCTCGAGAGCAACGCAGCTGGTCCATCAAATTAAGACGGAGACGCCCCCGCATCCGGATCCAACAGCTCAGATCATCGTGCCGACGACGACTTGGAGGATGGTGAACCCTTGGGGAGGAGGGAGGATGGTGGCGGTCGCAAGGAAGATGCGGAGCCCTCCAAAGGGACAGCCGAGCCCATGACGACGACACCATGCCTGAAACAGCACTCACTTCGAACAGCTCTGACAAGTCTCAATCAGAGCACTTGGATGGCGATAAACCCACGGATGCTGACGACGATGATGATGGCTTGGCATCTCCCTCCCGATCCAAGAACAACAACAATGACGGAAGCTGATGATGAGGCAGCCAAAGACACTCATCCTGAAGATGACACTCAACCCGAAGATGACACCAAGTCCAAGGATGACAGCCGAGACAGGGAAGGTGATGTCGCTGACAGTTCGGATCAAACAAAAAGTCTGCTTTCCGAAAAAGTCAAGTATATGCAAAAGGGCAACCGCAGGAAGAAACAGGACAAAGGCAGCGATGACGAAGAACCCCCAGCATCCGGATCGAACGGAGCACCCAAGGATAGTCACAAGGCCAAGAAGAGACCAAGACTTGGTAATGATGATGACAGCGGCACGGGAGACAGCGATGCATCAATGAACAAGTCTCCGCCAGATGACGATGACGACCTTGGCAACCTTGGCAACCTTGGCACTCCTCTGAGTGGTGACAGCGATGTTGAAGAGGAGCCAACATCCAGATCCAACATTAACAATTCCATGGTAGATGACGAGGCTTGGTCACTGGATGGCAAGTCTAAGGATGTTGGCCAAGAGGACCAAGAAAAAGACACAGCTGATGCTGAAACCAGCAGCCAAGCCCGTGCAAGTGCATCTTCCAGCAAGTCCAAGGATGACAAGCAATCGGATAGCCCCGATGTTTCTGCTGCTCGGGAGGACACTACCACGGACGACGACAATGGCATCGGATGCGCTGCGCCAACAGAAGAATCACATGGTGAAAGAGTGGAGCTCGCATTCGTGCAGACACCAGGAGATGTTTTGGTTCGGTTGAAACTCGAGCAAGCGTAGCCGAGTCTGGACAGCCACTATATGACCCCAATGGCAACCAGGACGACGATGCTTTTTTGGCAGCAGCCACTTTCCAACAATTGCCTCTCCCCCGGACAAACAGTAGTTTCTCTGATGATTGTCGTGCCCCTCAAATGCTTTGATCCCAGTGTCGTCAACAAGGTCAAGGAAGCCCACAAGAAGGGGACAATGTGGAGATGGACCTGAGTGGATACTGCACAGTATTTGCTTCAACAACAAAGTCAATGAGGAGAATCCGTCCAAGTGGACATCATGGTCAATGACGGGAGTCTCCCTTTGAGGCCCCACCATCCTTGCAGATGACTCGGCGCAAGATCTCAACCAGTCTATTAGGCGCCCTCAGCTTCGTTCATCCTGGAAGGCCAAATGCTCATCATTCTTTGCTTCCTCCGCGCATACCCAATGCCCACTACCACAGTCAATGTTCCCATCGAAGCAACTTGTACAACTCAGTCACCCATCAAAGCACCCCCACCACAGCTACCAGCACTCCTGTCAAGCCATCAATAGATCCAGCCCCCATGGCAGCGTTACAGCCAAACAGTTGCTGAAGTTTCGCCACCTTCCTCTCTGCACCTCGGCATAGCTCATCGCCTTCTGCGATCCCTCGACTTCTGACTACGACTTCTACCTACAGTTTCAATCCTACCGATGGTTCAATGTCATGAAAGTCTCCTTGTTTATGAAGGAATTGGCGGCCACGGTGCTCTTGGCAATATCATCATTGTACGCTTGATACGCTCGCAGCGGAAAAAATCGCACGGATCTCGCGAGAGATCTCGGTTGAAGCGGCTGGGGCAATGCAACTGATGGGGCTGTGGGTCGTAGCTACTGTGCGATTCTGAAGTCTGCAATCTTTGCAATGATCCGTCCAATCCAGAAGACATGGTGTATTGTGATCCCTGCGATAGAATATCTGTCCTGAGCGTCCACGTGTAGAGGGGGAACTCAATGCACGCCGCCCCATAGTGCTTCAGTATCTCACAGCCACCGTGCTCGAACAGCAAATTCAAACCCTTGTTCAGCAATATCGGGAGCTCGTAGCGGCTATCATCAACAAAGACGCCTTCTAACCACCCAACCCTTGAAGACTGGAATCATTCTCAAAGTTTCTGAATGTATCACTGAAGCCCAGCTTTCCTTCCTTTGGCACACTCAAAGCAATACTTTGGCACCAGTGGAACCGCCACACCGCAGGACAGCATTTGGCTGCTATCGAAAATGCATGTCAAGCTGTCGCCACAGCTCGAAACTGATCTACTCTTATTATTACGCCAGCCTTGGCCACTGACGTTGCCACTGGACACATTCTTGCAGAAAACAGTTAAGGCCTGTCCCTAATGCGCGACACCACTTCCATTGCCAATTCCAACCTCTCTGCAGCTCAGCAAACCCATAATAGAGCATTTGCCATCCTCACTGCTGTTCCTAGCAGCGACAGTCGAGCCTCCCAAGCGCTAACCTCATCACCAACGTGGCAGAGCCCCTCCAACTGATCGAGGAATACATCCTGAGAGACTAACCCCTAGCATATGCTAGATGAGGGCGTTCGTGAACACGGACGTCATCTCCACATACTCCTACATGTACCAGGTATATTGAAATCCGATGGCCTTGGTGGAGTGGCAGCAAGGATGCAAACAGGATGAGCTGGAAATCTCGGTCTCCAGGCTTTTGTTGCTTTTCCAATTTTAAAAATGGAACCACATGTATGGACAATGGCTACCTAAAGTAACCTACTATTGGAACCGACCACATGTCAGCCCCATGTCACAAACCTTCCAAACAACTGAGGGACTTGGGGAAAATGAAGGTAGGTGCCTACTAAGATAGATGGTCGATAATGAGTTCTGATCATGCACAGAACTGGAAGAGATCATCCAATGGTCTTGGTGGAGGCCCAGGGGAGAGCCCGTCGCCTCACGGCCATCCGCAGAAGCAAAGCTCATACATGGCACGAAATGCAAGCTCTTGCATCGTACGGTACGGAAATTACTGCAAGCTCATTCCTCATACTGTCCCGCGCCACCCCCACGATCGAGACGGTGTGTACCTGGCGCCAAAACCGAGCAGAACGAAGCTACAGATCTGCTGCATGAATACCGGTATATCGAGCCGACGAAGGAAAAATTTCGTGGCCATTCACAAGTTAAGTTCGTAAACTTAGCTGGATAGAGAGAGCCAGAGCAGGCCGCTTCACATAAGGCTACGTCGGTCGAATCTGTCAGAAAGTTGCCGAGTGAGAGCTCCGCGCCAGCTTGTAGCTTCGTGGCTAAGCAATCCATCGGGCCGTTGCTAGCTAGTGCTCATCTTCGCATACTCGCAGCCATTGAACAGTACCACTCCCAGCGTCTCATCGCGTCCACATCAACATGAAGTCGAAATCGAGGATGTCCGCGCGTTCTGTCGTCTCTTTTGAATGAAACAAGCGGTCAGCATTCCAAGGCAGATGTATCTCTACGCACCCATTGGAAAGCACCATGCCCACTTGATCCAACCACCATCTACTTTCAGGGAATACCTGCTCAGCACTCCTGATCCCAACCAAGACCATATCCAAGCCATGGACGCTGCGTTTCGCCCCCCAATACCTGGCGCAGCTGGTCCAACTCCTGCCCAATGCTTCGCTATGTCAGAATCGGGTTTCACCCCAACATTTTTCCTTGGAGCTTGTGCTACAAAGGACAAGCCCTTGCCATTCACCGCCCTGCTCAACCGATAGCCCAGGCCGCAGTGACAACAATATCAACCACTGCGCCTTTGTGGGAGATCTGGATGAGCATGGAACCATGCCTCCCATCGTGGTCATCGCCCAAAATGCCTTCGATCCACTCGACAATCTGGCCACTTTGCAGAATGTCTGGAATGTACTCCCCCTCGGCGCAACCGGAGTCCAGCCTCCTGCTGCCAACGCTGACAAAGTCAATGCCAAATGCTTGACCCCCATCCCATATCCATATGTCAATCAAATCCTACAAGCCCACATGGATGGGCTTTTGACCTGGCGATACCTTATTACCGAAGTCCTGCAATCCGTCAGTCTTGTTGCTGTGGAAGAGGAAGCCTACTCCGGCTTTGTCGATTGGGTTCGTGTGTCCAGCACCGAACGCCCCGATCCCACCAACCCAGGCAACTTTATTGATCCAGAAACTGTCATGGAGTTTGTTGCAGTCTTGGGGGTTCCTCGAGCCCTCAATACACGCCGCCCTATAGTGCTTTTGTATCTCGCAGGCCTGGAACTCCCCACCGTGCTCGAACGGCACATTTAAACCCTTGGTCTGCAATATCAGGAGCTCGTAGAGGCTATCGGTGGTTGCTTTTCCATGTGAACGGGACTATGGACAATGGCTAACTAAAGTAGCGTTTTGGAACCTGTCATCCGCAGCTCGAGGTAAACAAAGCTTCAAAAGGTTCTTTCTTGCCTATGTGAAACTTCCTGAATAAAAGAGGCTTCCTTAACGTTTCAGAAGGCTTCTGATACTTTCTTGTTTTGTCAAGAGCATCACGTCTGCATTTCTGAAAAGTCATTTTACGGTCTAGAGTTCATCTATCTTTCCGCTTTCCGCTCAACGACAGTGCCCACTCTAGTTACTGTGAGTACCCGCCAAGCGGTGCAGGGGACAGAAGAGTATTGTAAGATTTCGTCCGCCCCGCGTGTGGTTGCGGCTGATGCGCTGATTGCAAAGGAGAGCCCGGTCTAGCGGCCAATGCTCTTCTGTGAGATGTCCGCAGTCTCCCCCGTGTTTTTATGGCCAGGGCACGTTGCATGAGGACAATGATCTCGCATTTATTTGCCTCACGAAAACTTGAATACATGAAAAGCCAAGTCCACGAAGTTATCCAATAAATTCAATAGATCTTGCATGAGTCAATGCAGCATGCAGCCGTTGCTGTATTTTGTAGCCGTTCCTGGATAGGGACTGAAGACGAGAGATGTGGACCCTTCATCTTCAAACTTGGTCCCCATTGGCTGGCTGTTCGGCTGATCGTACCGGTAGACGTAAGGTACGGCAGAAATAGGGCCACCTCGATCAACCCCTCGTGCGGCGCCGGTGCCGGCGGTAGCGACGGGAAACGTTTACAGGATAGGGACGGCAGACGACAGATGTAGAGCTTTCATCTTCAAGCTTGGTTGGCTGGCTGGCTGTTCGGCTGTTGGTACAAGACGTAGGTACGGCAAAGAATAGGGCCACCTCGATCAACCCCTCGTGCGGCGCCGGCGGTAGCCACGGGAAACGTTTACAGACGCGGTGTTGTTCTCATTCCAGACCACATGCGCCTCTTTGCCGTGATCAATGTTCAGGTCCTCAATGGCTTGGCCCTTGGACTGCATTTCCCATTTCACATGCTCCCCAAAGTTACTGGAGGATCGAATCAGCTGACTGCACTGCTTCACCAAGCGGAAGATGGATTGAAGGACAACCATTTCGTAGACGGGGTCGTCACTCGCCAGATGCTGCTCCCATTTGGCATTCGCGGATTTGATGCGTGGACGATCAATGTATATCCAATTGTAGTCTGGGAACTTGGCCTTGGCCTCTGGAATGGCATTGAAATCGTCGGTCAGAATCAGTATATTCTTGTGTACTGTCATGTTCTTTTGTTGGGCATGCTCCAGATACTCTTCAATCCCATGATACTTGCGGGAATGAGAACCGTGGAACACCACATCTGCTCTTCGTACATGCAAAACAGAACAGGGGGCAACCAAATTTGCTTGCTGCTGTTGCACAAAGTCAGAGACGCGTTTTCGTAGCCAGGATTGTTGTCGCGTTGCGTAGTGAACCAGCCAGTTATATTCCTCCAACCCTTTGGCAGGAGGCGTTAAGAAATCTCCCTCCCAGCCCTTGTCTTGTGGTGGGCACCGTGAGTATGGCAAGAAATAGCAAAACATATTTCGTTGCGGACAGGCGATTCTCAAGGATTCGTCCGTCTGCTTTTTCTTTACGGAGTTGTCCGCATAGTGCCATCGATCTGTTCCCATTTGTACTGGTGTCCCCGTCTTTAGTGCGTGAAAGAATCCATCGACTGACCAAACACAGGTCGGGTACACGTTGGTAAAACAAATAATTGAGCCAATCTATGGATGGAAGGGCGCAGTTTCTCCTCGCAGCGACTCGGATTACTGTACTTACCAATATTCTCGAAGTCGGCACCCCACCCTGAGGACCTGGCAGACAAAACAGTATCGAGTCAACAGCCAGCCAGCCAAGCAAGCAAGCAGCATGAGTCACGAAGATCCATCTACCAAGTGAAAAGTGCACAGCTACTCCAAAGGAGTAATCTGCCCAAATAAGTTTATAGTACGTACCACGTTCGTTTGGTGGTCATGTTCGTGCAGTCCCCCGTGACGAATTGAACCCGATAGAGTTCCTCCAGCAACTTGGCCTCCCGTTCATCGGCCATGGGTTGAAAGCATTGGTGCGTGGCATTGTTGGGTCCCATCTCCCACATGGGATGATGCGTCCACCATTCATCCACATTCATTTCGGTGGTATCCCATGGCACACAAAACGGATCCACAAAGTCGTGGACCTTCTTTGATGGTGGTTCCAACTTTATATTATTGGCGCCGCCACCCGCCGTCAATCCAGCATGCTTTTCATTGACATAGTCTTTCGACACGACGTGCGTCTTGGAATTTCCTTCATTGAGTACCTCGGTTTGACTCATACCCGCATCGATATTCACCCGTTCCACTTGGCGGTCACCGCGTTTCATTTCTTGATAGAGATATTCTCCAAACTTGCCCGTCGACAAGACGATTTGATCACATTGACGCACCAGCTGGAACGTGGCAAACAGCACCACGACTTCCAACACGGGATCGTCACTGGGTAGGTGATGTTCCCAACCCCCGACCCCTCGAAATCGCGGTCGTTCGAAATACATCCAACGATACTGTGGATACTTGGTGCGAGCTTCTCCAATGGCATAGTGATCATCCGTCAGGAGCAAAATGTTATCATGAACGCGTGTGTTGTTGATATAGTCGTCAATGGGATGAAACTTGCGGGCTTGCTTGTCGTGCAAGACGACATCGTTGCGACGGACGTGCAAGACGGAGCAGGGTGTTTGCATGCGCGGGGCTCCTGATGATTGTGAATGCAGATAGTCGTAGACTCGTTTGCGCAGCCATGTTTGAGGTCGTACCAACCATTCCAAGTACCATCGATGTCGATCATTATTGCTGCTGAAATCGGGTGCGTCATGTGTCGTTGTTGATGATGGTGTACACGACGACATGTTGAGCAAGTAACAGTACATGTTCTTTTGCGGACACGCTTCCAAGAGCGCATGGGATTTGTTGACGAGTTTTTTCGTCACGGCATAATGCCAGTGCGTGGACGTGTCGACTTGAACGGGTCGATTGGTCTGATGGGCTTGCTGCAATGCATTGGCGAGATTGGTCATGTCGGCACCCCATCCCGAATTCCACATTTTAACCATACTCACATCATCATCATGGCAAGTAGAAGTAGTTGGAAATTGCAAATGATACAAGTTTTGAAAGAATCGTGCCTTTTCTGCATCTTGTACTTTTTGAAAACAATAATGCGTGTCATTTTCCCTGCCATGTTGCCAATCTCGATGATGCGTCCACCATAGATCGGCATTGACATGCCATGGCACACAAAAGCTGTTTCGGTCTACCGAATAATAATCTTGTTTGACGCGGTATTCATTTTGCGCGTCAATCCATTCCACCATGTTGGATGGTAGTTCCGTTGCAGTAGTAGATTGTGGTTGTACTCCTGCTACTACTGGCGCTGGAATGGTGATGCGCTTGGGATAGTATTGTATCGGTTCTTTTGTAGGGCGTTGTTTCCGATATTTGCGTAGAATGGATTGTACCGAATAGGCCGTGGCCCCTGCCATCGAGGGAGGTCGATTTTGGGCGGCCACCATTTCCCAATAAATGTACTCGGAAAAAGCGTCTTGAGTAGAATCGTCAAAGTGTAACAATACATCACAGGAATGAAGCTGTATTTGCTGCAGCAGTGTCAAGAGACGAATCATGAATTGTTGTGGATCTTGTTGTTGTTCCTGTGTCGTAGGCAATGGGACGGGTGTCCATTGAGGATGTCTTTGTGCTTGCATGTCTTTGATTTGTTGATTGGTGTGTGCCAAAAGCAGAACGCGATCTTTTTGGTCTAGATCTCGTTTGTACTTGTCGTCGAGCAACTCCTTGATTTGTTGCATCGTCGTGGTGGGATGCAATAGGAAAATGGCACAGTCTTGCTGTTTTGATTGTGGCGATTGTTTGGTATTGCTGTGAGTGCGTCCCACTTGCCGTCGAATGTTCGATTTGGGTCTGACCAGATACTCCCAGTACCATCGTTGTTGCAGTGGAGTGATTGGATCAGGGATATCGTCGGGATGATCTTGCTGGATTTGATTGAAATTGGGAGTGTGATTGGTGGGACACGATGATAGAGGCAACAAGAAACACTCCAAAAAGAAAGATGGATGTTGGGAGCAGTCGGCAGTCGATTGAAAGGGTCGTTGCAGTTCTCGTCCCCACGCCAGTCCTTGTACCAATGGTTCCAGTTGAGCCGTCCACGTATCTATGGAAAACTGGGGGTGATTGTGTGGAGCAGCTGCATAAATTCCTTGACTGCTGCATTTGTTGCTGGCCAAGTTGACGACAAACTGCTCATGGTGCATCAATCTCATGAATTTGGTCTTTTGTGGATCGTCTTGAATCTGTTGAAAACACGTATGGGTGACATTCTCGGCCGTCACATCGACAAACCAATCGGGATGTGCACTCCACCAAGCATCCGTGTCGGTCTCCCAGTCCACACAGAAATGAGAATCGAATTTGGACAATGGTGACAAGACTGTTCTTGGAGGTGTAGTACTTGATGTAGCTGTACTACCACTGGTTGCATTCACTAGCTGCGAGATTTCGACAAACTCAATGGTAAAATTGGACAATACGCCCGTTTGAGACGCCAAACTGACCACCACCAACACCACGGCACAAGACACTAGTGTCACGCGACTGTACAAGTGTCGAGGTGTCGTCGGTCTGCTTGCGCTTGTTGGATCATCCTTCTTCTTGGCCGTCTTGTGTCGAAGTTTTCTAGTAGACAGTGCCATGCTATGCTACAGTACAGTACAGTACCGGTACTTCTATTCTATTCTATAGATGTGGTTGTGGTTGTGGTTGTGGTGGCTACGATGGTGGCAATCTGCAGCCGTGGAATCGACGAAGCATCAACTTCTTGGAAGATGATGGATTACATACAAGTAAGTTTGGATCCAATATCGTTGATCGCTGTTTCATACGTAACGGGACTAAAAGATTTCATCCATCCCGGAAAGCAACGGATCTGTTCCGAATTTCCGGAACTGTTCCGGTTCCTCTTCCACAAACACAAAAGGCAACGGCAAAGATCCAAGATACAGTACTTCTTTCTCATGACATTTATTTGACGGGGTTTTTAGAGTATCAGGTACGATTATTCAGATTGTAGATTATCCACTGAAGCCAGCCAGGGCCAGGCTTTCTCATCGATTCGATTCGATTCGGGCACCTCTCGTCATCTCCTCGTTTGTAGGTAGATCGAAAGATACGGTACATCGTACCATTCTGGCGTCGTTCGTTCATTGCTTGTTATTGGGATACCACGCATCTCCTGGCTGGTTGTGGAGGTTCACAAACACGGCGTTGGTCGGTGGCTTTTCTCAGATTGCTTACCGTGACATATTAGAACCTAATTTCGGCCTGATTCTTCTTGCTCCTACTCCCTCTGATCCCGTCATCCAAGACCGCGGTGATCTTCTAGGCCAGGGCAGCCATCGGGGTACTCATTGTATCTTTGATGTCTCCCTCATGGATATTGAGTGAGTCTCCGGGTTGTCCTTTCCCAGTGCGAGAAGCTAAGAAGACAAAGTACGTGGCTCAGTGCACTGCACAACGCAACGCCGGCACTTCACCCCTTTGTTGCTTCAGCTGATGGCCACTTTGCTGCTGCCAAAGCTACTGCTGTTCGCCAACGGCTCTCCCAGCTTTTGGCTCACAAGGCAGTGGTCCCAGCCCTACAGTACTCTTGTGGCTCGCTCCTTTGTTTCTGCTCACTAGATAGAGCATTGCCCTGGCTAGCTCGAGCTGCTACAATGTGTCTTTGTGGCTGGCTCTCGATTGTATTCTAGTTCCGACTAACACTACATGTATGCCATTGGCTGGGACGATAATTGTGCCCTTCTTGATCTCT